TCCACCCAGTCTCCCACCAATCTCGCTGAAGCGCATTCCCACACAAGCTGCTGTGGTGCCCGCGCAGCACCACAGGGCAGCTCCAGCAACTACACCTGCGACCTCACGGGCATCTTCAGCGGCAGCGTGCCCATCTGCGAGGCGAAGCGCCCTTCAGCTGTAGCTTCGGAAGCGGTCCACCGGGTCCACCGGTCGGTCCCGGTGTCGTGAGCGAGCGGGCCGGAGCGAACCGGGGCGTTGATGGTGGCAGGTATTTTTCAACAGAAATCTGAACCTTTCGAAATGATTCGGGGTGTGGGGTGTCATAGTGATTAAGGATGGTGATAGGTGTGAATTTCACCACCGACGGTGGGTCCTGGGGTTTTCACGTGGTTTTTCACGGTGCGGAGCCGAACGAATCGGCGAGAACTGAGGATGTGAAGTTCCTGCGACGTTGATCGGCAACGTCACCTTCAGCTCCTCATGTGACGGGACCACGCACGGGCAAAGCTGCCTAAGTGTGTGCAACGCAGGCAGGGCCGTGGCTGGGGGATTCGCCAGACCACCCGAAGGACCGTTGCCTTGGTCAGGATTGGCGGGATCATGCCCATTCCCTGAGGCTTGTTGTCCAAGCAGTGGAAGGGGGGCAACATGTGAGGGTACCTCAAAGACCCGTTGTTTCCCCCCGTTTTGCACATTTAGATGAGCTGAATTTTCCTTCCTCTTCTCTGTGTGTGTGTGTGTGTGTTTTGATGTTCAGCGATGGACGTGCAAGTTCTATGATCTCCTGATGTAGCAGTGATCTATCTGCAGAAAAACAGAACTGTTCGGTGCCATGGTGATTTCGATTTTGCAGGAGACCTGAAAGTGTGATTTCTTTCAATTGATCTCGTGCAGGTTATGCGGGCCTCCCAGCACAACATCTTTGCAACGATGGGACCTTGCTGGGCAACCCGCCCAGTTGCAGTCCTGAGCCTTGCACCTTTGAAGGCTGCAGGGCGCATGAGCGGCGCATCGCGGTGCGGTGCTGGGTGCCCCACCCCGGTGTCCCAACATGTGGAGGTAGGATAGGTAGGCCACCCAGGAAGAAAGGACAGATAGACTCAGATAGACAGCCAATCTGTTCACTTGTCGGCTAAGTCGGTGTACCCATAATGAAGGAAATTTTGTGTTCGGCATGCCCTAGCACATGAGAGGCGGACTTTGTTCAGTGGCTGAAATTGGAAGAGCTAGGGCGCCAAGCTTCTTCGCTGCCTTTTGATTTAGTAGAGCATGACAACCAGTGTTGACGGTTGACGACAGGTTCCTGCCATTGTCTTTTTGGAATTTTTGCTTAAAGGAGTGTGAGATAGGACCTGTGAAACGATGGGTGGGAAAAGAAACTATGGAAAGAGGCTAATATGCCACACCTATCTCGTCAGGTCAACACATACAGACATGTTGTCTCATAAATGTTTGAGATTGCATGGTTTGAGGAGGTATTTGACATTAGACCGCACACGACCTAGGAGTATGCCACTAACATAGCAGCTAGCATGTGGGACAAAGGGGTTAGGAAAGCGATTGGTTAAATTCCAGAGCGACAACCTTGTGTTTCCAGTGGGGCAAACTCAAGGAGCACACCTACGTCATGAAGCTTTCATCAGTCATATTTTCTCCTTGGGCACGGTATTCTATTCGACACTTTATTTGGGGGGTTATGTGCTGGCAGAACATCCACACCTCATGTCATTCTGCTGTGTCAGCAAGCTGGTCTGCTGACTGATGACTTCAACGCTGTGTCACACAACTCCTATGTCACTAGCCCATCAAATTCCTATGTCATTCACCCTCAGTTTTTCATGCAACTTCCGCCACCTGCCACGCTTCGTCACGCGGCTTCAGGACTCCGTCGCGTCTCGCGCGAGTCACCGTCACCGCAGGCTTTCCTTTGAGCATGGGCTTGGACTCGACGGATTGCGTCGGAGCGGTCTCAGGGGAGACCTGCCAGGTGACATGCTTGCAAGGCTATGAGCTTCAAGGCGGCCTCGAATCGACGACTGGGCCGACGACCTTGGTTTGGTTTGTCTTTTTTGTTTTGTGAAAGACGATGTCGACTCTTGTGGCAATGGTGCAGATTGAGCTTGTGTTCTTTTTTCTGCAATGCGCCAGGTAACGTGAGCTGGAATGTCAAGGGAAGAGGGACCCAGAGGGATGATGGGTGTGCAACAACTACGATTCAAGAGGCACAGCCCTGTCAAAGGACTACTGGTGTCAGCCACCTGGGTTACATCTCACTCCATATTGGAGGTTTCATCCAGAATCGACCGACTTCAGCACCGCATTGCCGACGGAAGGCAGTCCAGTGCTGACGTGTTTGGCGGCCACCAGCACCTTCTCAAGCAGCAACGCGTCCTGCGTGCCTCACTGGCTGATTTCATGGAACTCGTGATGTTTTTTTCCCAAATGAAGACTGGCAAGTGTAGCTCTCTCATGATCCAGCAGGGATACAAGGGAGACGAACGAAGACTGTCATGAACGTGGCCACAAGGTAGCCTTCAGTTCATCATTTTTGATAGATTGTTGTTGGAAAATTAATGTGGCAGAGGAGCCCACAGAAGTTCACTGTTTCTCTATCCAGACTGGCTGGGGCCCGGGTCGTGCAGTCCACCTATATAGATGGTGACTCACTTGTTACGTCCTCATCAAGCCAAACATTCCAAAGACTTGCGGAGCATTTTTGGTGCTGAGACTTCATCAAGCCAGCGGGGTGTCTGGGATGTTGTAATGGTCCTTCTTCCCTGAGGAGCCGGCGCCATGCGGGAACTTGTCTTCCGTCGCGGCGTTTGCCAGCGCTGGCGTGGCTGGGCAGGTGATGCGACTGACGCAGCGTTTCGGAGTCTGCCGTGCGAATTTTCCGCGGTGTCCGGAGTCCGTCCTGACTCTTCAGATCGTTGGCTCAGGTAGGCCATTCATGTGACGGGAGTGTCTTCGGCGAGGCGAGCTGGACGAAACGAGCGAAACGATGGCCAGTGATGGCAAAGTGTCATTTTCAAGCTATTCTGCCATGTAGGTAGAGGTGCCAAGAAACCATCGCTTTCCAAGACACGGATTCACTGGTCCTTTTCGATCCGGAGGTCGCTCGAACAAACATGATTCAGCTTAAAGATAACTGCAATACTTAGATCACCATACTGCAGCATACTTCGCCCTGATTTTCGCTCAGGGCTATGCTAGGCTATGCGGCTATGCTAGTCTGATGTTCTGATGTTCAGATGTTTTCTTCAAACCGAATGGAATTGAGCTAGATGAACGGTCGACCGGGTGACCGAAGGAAGTCCCGTGGATCGAACGTGGGGGGGGGGCAGGTGTGCTTCGCCTTTTGCCAGCAGGGGTACCAGTTGGAGGGGAATGCCAGCATGCTGTATTGCCAAGATGCCTCTTGGTGGAATCCGAGGTCAGTTACTCGTACCACACGTCCGAAGCTGGACACGATTTTCGTGCTTCGGACGCGGACGAAAAGGCCTCGTTGTTTGGAAGAGAGGTGCACGTCAGGCCTTCTTCGCGCGGCGCGAAGCGCTATGTGCTGCAGCTTTTCGTTCGAACACCGAGGTGCAAACTGGCGCTGGATTCCTGGAGGGTCTTGAAGGTTCGTGCGGTGGGAGATCTGCGGTTGTCAAACCACGTGTTCACCAGGACCTCATTTTGCCGGTCGCACGAACACTTTCTGCTGTTCACTACAACCAATCCATTGAATTTCAGGCCATCATCCATAGACCGCCAATACACCTCCCATCCATCTCCACCTGGTCATTTCTTCACTGGACTCCTGGCGCTGGCGGAACCTCTTTAAACATCTTTAAAGCCCTTTCGCGCCACCGAGCCTTCCGCACGTTCCCCCGAATCGCACGTGCGCCACGTGCGCGTCTTCTCGCTCGCAAGGGCAGATGCTGCCGGCCGCCAATTCCTCGGGCCCAAGCTGCACTCCCAAGCCTTGCACAGCTGGTGCCTGGGGGCCCTGTCCGGGCGATGAGAGCTAGACTACGACATCTCAGTGAGTCTCAATTTGGCTCCTCAGGGGTCAAGACCCAGACCAATTTTTTTTGGGGAGTCTCAGACCTGTCCGACAGCAGCTGCTTAGAGGGGGTCTAAGTCTAAGACGCTGCATCGTGACCTCGCCGCCGCTGAGATCCCAAGCCTGCGCGGCGTGATGCATGATTGTGCGGGCAAAGCCACTGCAGAAACCTGCATACTCAGTGGGGGGGCTCGAGGGGGCCGAGTCAAGTGGATCTACAGGTCACAACTCGCGGCTGAACCATTCAGGCCACCTTGGATGGTACTGACTATACCAAAATACACAAACACACACCTTTACATACATTGATATACATATAGCTAGGAGCAACTGAGTTGTTACATTGATCGCTCAATTTGGTGAGAACTTGGTCAGCTCATGTCAGCTCAATTTCTTTCCCATCTTGGGTCCCAGACCCTCCTGACCGGGAGGCCCGCTTCCTTTCGTGTCCAGTTTCCGCGCATGCCACGCTCGTTCTTTTTCAGGCGCGGAGCTGGGTTTCACGCTCTCTGGCCCAACGACCCTGACGTGTCAGGTGCGAAAAAAAACGAAGCGGCGAAGGATGGGGGGAGATCCGGCTGAGCGGGATGCGGCCAGTGGGAAGAACATATACGACTATATATAAGAACAATTGTGAAGATAATCTGAACAAAGCACAGCAAGAGGAGCTATGTTAGCACTAAGCACATCTAAGCAGGCAGCCAACCGGCAGCCGCCATGAGGTCGGGTTTTGGGGACCCTCATGGAGCTTCTTTTCGACCGACTCGTGGTCGCTCCGTTCCGAAGCCCCCAGGGTCCTGCCGGGGGGTCCGTGCCAGGCGGACGGCTCGTTCACGCAGGACCCGCGGCGTCGGACATGCAGCCGGTTCGCCGACGCGTGGCGTCGGAGGGTTTAGGGTTTAGGGTTCGACGTGGTTCTTCTAGGGAGAGCCTTCGATGGTTTTCCCGTGCCCATTGTTTCCGGTCCATGAAGTTTGAGGCACTCGATGCTTCGAGGTCGAATTTCCACCTAAACGGCTTGGTCAAAGGGAATCGGGTTCGGGAGGACCTGCCGGTGGTGGAGCCTGCAGCTTGTGCAGATCCTGACTTCGGCGAGGGTGCATCAAGCACTTGCAGGAATCGAAGCATGGGAGAGGAGTGTTGGGCTTATTGCCTGCCGGGCTTTTCGGGTATCTTGATTGCAGTTTTGGATGATCTGGGTGGTCCAGTGGTCCAGGATGAAACAACACATTTTCAATCTTTCATGTGAACAGACTCGGTCAAAATGAGACCCAAGGGCCTAGGGATTGTAGTGGACTATGTGATCTATGTGGCACTCCTCCTTGTGCACCCTTTGAGCAAGTTTCATCTTTGCCTGTCCTTCTGTGGGGCCACAGTCAACCGTGCCTTTCGGTGCACTGGTTCAGGTCAAGGTCTGGGTCTGGTCCAGACTCGACTCTGCAAACTCACAGGTGTTGCAACCGCATGCTCATGACCTACATACACTTTGCAAAGCTTGAGACGTCCTTTCAACTTCTCTATCGATGTCTCCATCTCTAGTTGATGCATGCAGTCTTTCCAACAGCCACCGGTGGATCCACATGATCTGGCGAGTTCTTCCGGGTGACAAAGCTACGGCGAAGCTTTGCGGGCGACAGAGCAGACGAAACTTAGAAAACGAATCCCCATTCGGCGACTCATCCCCAGGTGCAACTGTGTTGGGAGACGTTTCACCATCTGAGGCACTCCAAAGCCATATCGTTGCCAAGCCAATGCCACGGCAAATGCAGTGCAAATTGAGCAGTTGACAGATGCCATTCTGTGTGACAATAGCCGCTCGGATTCTCAACCACAACCACGAGAGAGACTGGGAAGGTCGCCATGTCAGACGTGGTCGTGGCAGTGGATACACTTGACTACACATGGAAGTGAATTGCATGGCCTTGTGGAAGCTGTTCCAAGATACGTGAGCTGAAGATAGTTCCAATAGCTCTCAAACGGGGAAACCTGAGATTGGATGTAGAAAGGCTATGGATCCCTCTTTTGAGTGAAGTCCACTTTGGGCGTCGAGTCCCACGTTATTCCGTGTTTTGGCCAGAGCGGATCACCTGGACTTTGGGGGTTCATCCCTGAAGCCAAATTGCAGACTTCCTCTCTTCCAGGCGCTTTTTGTGAGGACCCCTCACATTGACCGTCACAATTGATGTAAAAGAACTCCCCGCCCAACGGCCGCCCAACTTGCCACGAGTTCCGGCCGTGCCAGGCACGAACAGCACGAGCAATGACACGAGTTCCGGTCGACGCTTGCAATCTGCGACTTGCTTCGCTGGCTCAGTCCAGACTGTGGGGCTATCAGTGGAGTCCTTCACACATGATTGCACCGGCAAGGCGGGAACTGATTCGAAACCCTGGTGTAAGCGGAAGATGTTATTGAAAGGGATGAACTAGGGCAACTGAACCAACTGGTGTGTGGATCGGGGGGGGAACTGCTCAAGTGGGGGTGGGGTTCACTCTCACGAGCTAGTGATACATTCGCATCCATTAGCCCAGAATTGGGCTCAGGCAGCCGCCTAATTGACCAACTGTGGCCACCGTGTGGTTTGTTTTCTTGTATCATTTCTTCGACGGGCCTTCTGATACATCATGGCCCCGTAGGTCTTGATGTAGGTCTTGATGTCGGCATGTCGTCCTTCAGCTTCGAAGGTTCATGATGACGCCTGTGTGGCGCACTGCTCTTTGGGGTGGAACATGACCGAGACTGAGCCTTCCATTTTCCTCTGTGACAATGGCGGCACGGCTTGAACATGAGTAATAATAATAATAATATATATATATATATTATATACTAGAACAGTTGAATTTGTACACCCACATGCATCCATGGACATCCTTTTTTCAACTGCCTCCAGTGGAGTCACAAAACTCAGTTGACCACTCGAGGCTATTTGGTCGGAGCAGCACTTCCAACCTGTACCCCTTTGCCATGCACCTTTGCTTTCCCAAATGCCCTGGGCTTGTTGCACACTTGCGACCTGGCATGACCGACCGACCGACCTTCCGATCGTCATGGGTCGACGAACGTGGTGGTCAAGCACCGGTGTTCGATTCGAAAAATGGTCATTGCAGGGGCCATGCCATGTACATCCAGGTGAATTCCGGGGAGTGTACAGTGTACGTGTGTTATACTATACTACTATATATTACTGTAGATATGTAGATCCCGTTCAATTGTTTCCTTTGATCCTCAGGGCACCCTGTGCAACCGAGGCGATGGAGTCCGCACTGGCGAGACGTGCCTGGCAACATGCACCGAGGCTGCCGATGCCCCCACTGCCGACGTGCTCATTCTCACTCCGATTCCTACCTCCTTGGGGTTCCCCATCCACCGTCAGACAGGGTCGCCCTATCACAACGCTTGCGGTTGGACTGTGGAGAACAGTGGGGAAACGGAAAGAATCGAAGGTCTGGGAGGCTTATTGGCTCACCGGGGCTAATATGCAAATATAGCTTTAACTATAGCTTTATATAGCTCTCTGTACAAGTATAGCCAAGTAGCCCAAGGTTTCAGGGTAACCATCGTCCCACGTTGTAGACTTCGCATTTTTGTCGTGACAGGTGGGCTATGACTACTCGGCGGGATGGGCCGCGGAGACCTTCACTTGCTTGCCCACGGGCAGCGTGACGGGTCAATCTCCCACCTGCTTCTTGGCGTTTTGCAGGTCTTGGAGTTGGAGAAAGGTTGGAGAGTAGATGGGACAAACACAATATGCCTCCAAGCTTGTTTCTTTTTCTCGGTTTTTCCTTCACGAAAAAGGGCAAGATTCGCATTTCATGTCGGCGTGTTGGGAAGGTAAAAGCTCAATGTAGCCAGTAGATGCCGGTAGTCTTTTACTAGTACTAGTACTAGTAGTAGTAGTACTACTACTACTAGTAGTAGTAGTAGTAGTAGATGATGGTGCACCTCCCAAGGCATATTGAATTCCTCTCTAGCATTTTGTTGTAAATGAATGCAGTTCCAGATGCAGCCCAGTGGCCACTGTCAGTGTCCAAAAATGGACCGGCAAGGCAACTCGCACGCCCTGGAATTATAATGGACGTGGACAATGGCCCCTTTGATGACCATTTTCCTCTACAAACCGGGGCTGTTGGTGAACCACCCAACACCTTTTTGCACTCTACACATGCTCTGAGGTGAACGCATCTCCTGCCAAGATCTGCAATTAGACGCCCGCTATGCACACAACTGCCAAGGTGGGCTGGGAGGGCGACGAGTCGCCACGAAAGTGGAGAATCCGCGTGGCCGGACACCTCGGACAGGCTTGCGGTACCAGGACACCTGCGACGTGGGCTGTGGCCAAGGCAGAACGTGCGCCGATTGCCGATTCGGTGGTGACCGAAAAACGACACGCGCGCCATGGCAATGGAGCAAGGTCCATAAAACCTTGCATGATATGTTTAGAATATGTTGAGTAAAGTGAGTAGACACACCATCAATGGTTCATGGAACGTTTCAGACGCAGCTTAAGCATTTAAGACAAAGTTACTTGGTGGAGTTGCAAATGATCGAGCATAAATTGAAGGTTCATGGTAGGTCCGGGTTTCTTGGGAGTGTGCAGAGCCGATCAGTCATGTGCATCACATAGGCTGTCAATACCAACAAATCCAAGCCCAGAGGCCCGGAACAGTTGTGTTTGCACCTCAAGTTCGTGGGCGTTTCTCCTAGTGCTGCGGTCTTGAAAGCGGGGCTGCACAGCTGAGCTGCGGACACGGCCTACAGCCTCGTCACGGCTTAGCTAGGCTGTGGGGCAGGTAGGTTGAAGCATCGAATTCCACCAAGAAAGCCAGGCTACACGCTTTCGGGCTCCAGCAGTCGGCGGCAATGTGAGGCGATCTTCGTAGCTTCATCGGGTCGTTGTGACTGGTGCAGCCTAGGAGCTGTGAACTGTAGCCGCCCCTCACCCATCTCACCCCCCAAAGATGACAACAGAGAAGAAGGTTTCAAGAAACTGGTGTGATTGTTCCGATCTATCCTTTTTAAGGACAGATCACCCGTGCTCCAGAAAATCAGAAGGTTCAGTCCACGGTTTGGCACGAAGCTTATCACTATGATTGCAGACCAGTCGATCCAACACACCACGAGTCGATGGGATCTGATGCTTTGGGGCCTGGAGATCCCATCTCTCCGCTTTGACCGGCGACCGGGGAGCTCCATTTTGTTTTGGTATGTTCCATGTTCCTTCGGAATATTTAGGTCCTTGCCACGCGAATCACATCACATACAACATGCCTGTAAAGAAGCACATCCACTGTAAAGAATCAACTCAACTTCAACCAATCATGGAGCATCTCGAGGTCTGAGAGATGTTTCCCTTCACAGTCGATTTTCTTTCTGAGTTGCGCACGGCAACTCGCACGGCAATCACGGTGCCTCCGAAGAGGTTGGAAGATGGAAGGCACAAACCGTTGTCACAAACCCTACAGACCATTTTTCCATCTCATCAGTTGATTTCCCTCAGCACTCAGCACTTGCTTGCTCTTTTTGGTCCGTTTCATCTGACATGATTTGCACTGTAGGCCGCCTGGGGACCTACCACCAATTCAGGTCATGGAAGATCTCGCCCAGTCTGTCCCTGGACCCTCCGTCGGGGTTCCGCCAGGCGGACGGAAGCTTTTCGGGTGGCTTGCCCACCTGTGTGGGCAACCCTTGCAACATGGGTTTGCCCAACAATCCCACGGTGAACGCTTCAGGCCAGGAACGCCTCAAACTTTTGAGCCGAACGGGAATGAGATGGACCACACCCTCACTGTTCCACTCCAAAGTGGATTGGAGCCATGTGATGTTTCATTCAACTCTCTCTCTCTCTCTATATTCTCTACATATGTCCAGGAAACCAGTATTCAGTCTTCCTTGCCCCAACAACCTGTTGCTGCACGGATGCTGCGTCATCCCTCATCCGCACAGCGTGCATCTCGGCCGACGCGATCAGGTTGTAACGGCCTCACTACCGGCGAGTCCTGCGAGGTGAGGATCTGTAGGTCGAGCGCTCCAGAAATATCGCACCCAGACACTCCTATGACATATTTGCCGACACTGACCCTGTTTCAGCCACTCCAATGTAGGCAAATATGCCAGTCCCATGAAGGAGTTTTTGGGTGAAATAGGCCAAGCTCAATCATTTCCAAGAGACGAAAGTAGCATAGGGCTGGTGCTTGAGTATAGATTCCAAGCCTGACCTGCGCATGTGCTCCATGCAAGTAGCCTTTGGTGAACTGGCAGGTGACCTGTCTACCAGGTTTTTTGCTTGGCAATTCTTCCTTGACCTGTCATCCATCAGGCTGGGCGGATTTTTCTTAAGATAAGCTACAACATCACATTAATTACACATGGATTGCTCTAAATATTGTTCTAATCCATGCTTCATGATATGATCATGCGATTGGCATTTCGTCCCTCTCAGGAGTTTTGTAAGAACGCTTGAGCATTTTTCCCACGCAGTTCAGCTCACGCATTATACATGTTGGTTGTTCACCACACTTGCACTAGACACTGGACACTGACAGAAAGAGATCAATTTTTGAATCTCTGGTTGTTCGCCTTAGGTTACCTGTTGGGAGTGGTTCCGACCTGTACGCCATCGCCATGCCCTGACATTGCTTTGCCGGCCTCTTTGCAGAGCACTTGCTCAGGCAATTCGGATGAGCAGAAATGCTGCTTTCTTGTGAAGCCTGAGGGTGTGGCCAGTCAATCCTGCTTCCCCCACACCTCTTTGGCTGCTCAATTTAAAACTCAGAGTGCTTCGACACGGTTCCAAGACACGATTATGATGACCCCGGAGGGGCTCCTTCTGGGTGACCACATTCGTGCCAAGGCAGCACCTATGGCAGCAAGTGTGCTGTAATGTGTGCTCCCGGGTGGCTTGAACAGCAGTGTCGTTCAGTCATTTTTTACTGTCCTTCCGTCGATCAAAGCGCTCAATTTCAGATGGACCGCGGAGGGGTTGTGGCGCTACGTGGCGGTGTTTCCTCCAAGTGGGCCATATATAGTATGTTGTAGTATCTATATAAGAAGCTTAGACTAGATCCATAATACCCAGACGACATGGATCCTGGTAAACATATTTGCCTTCATTGAGTAGGTGTATATATATATATATATGCCAGTCCCGTGGAGTGTTTGGGTCTAAAATATCAATGTCCTTACGAGAGCGACTCCCGTAGGCATTGATCACGGGCATAGGTAACAGGACGCCTCAAGACAAGCTCGTGACTAATTTAATATATATATATATGATTGTGTATATATATATAGAGAGGTATGTACATATAATATGCACACATATTCCTTACGTAATTGGAGCCGTCTACCCTACAGGGCCCTCCCTGTTCAGCCCCATGTCATTGCCTAGATACGCCGGCAGCAATGGCAGCAGCGCCATAGAGGACCGCTTCGCCGTGGGCAGTTGACCTTGTGGAACCCATGGTGCTGGCATGCGAAGGTCCCACGCGCAAGAGGCCCAAGTCTGTGGTCCGTTGTCCACTTGACCCCCCTCTTCAGGAGGTCATACAAGCACGTGATATGTAGCACATGGATGACAATGAGCACCATTTTGTTCTTCTTTCCCCTCGCGTGGTCCGTAGCCTTCAGACTTGGTTTCGGGGCGGTGCCGGCGAGTGTCGGCGAGTTTCGGCAGGAGTTTCAATGCGGGATGGATGGGAGTTCGATGGCTCTTCAGGGAACACTGCCGAGTTGTGACGCCCAGGCTGGTGGGTGGGGAGACTCATGAAACGCTTTTGGGGCCCGGTGGGAGAGGTGCGGAGTCCGAATTGCATCGGTTATATAGCATGTTTGAATAAGGCATGAGATTTGCAACCCATGCACACCACTATGATGCCCAGGCTTGCTCGTCTGGACTGCCTGTTGATGGAGCTGAAGTTGACAGCAACTGCTCTTCTCTGAAGACAGGCACGCTGAACTCAACTGGCTCAAGACGAGCTCGTGAGTAGTACAGTATATATATATATATAAACAAAAATTATTATCTATGTATATACCTATGCACACATATTCCTTGTTCATGTTCTTAATAAACAAATACTTTTAGATAATGTATGTTGACGTGACTGCATTTCATGTTCAGAGAGGTTTCTGACCTTTTCAGCTGGGCACAGGGGAGACATGCTTGCAGAACTGTGCCTTTGGATATAGCACGAGCGCGGCAAGTGCAGCGCTGTGGACCTGCCATGAGGCAGGAGACGGATGAATGCTTGTTCTGCTTTCGCTTTGTTTTGTCATGGGTGTACCGGGTTGTCGTTTGCAAAAGCCCCTTACCAACACCTACCAGCAAAGTCCAACAAGCACACATAATTGCAAGTGCAAGATGAAGAGACGACTGAAAATAACACCTGTTGGTGATGGTGGCCAAGACCAAGACCTTTCTACTACAGCATCATCAGCATCAGTTGCATCAGTCGCTGTCAAGTCAGCGCAAAGACCGAATTCCATTGTTAATTCATGTTAATTCAATGTTACATGCCATCCGAGTCCGATCTGTTATAAAGTCAGTAATACCTACGACTATTTTACTCATACTGCACCCGCCCCAGAGGGCAAGGGGTGTGTAATAAGCGCTGGCTCCCCCACAGCAAGCTTCGTGGTGGCAGGATGGTTCTGCTTCGGGCAGCCCTGCCACGTGCCAAGCCATCGCGTGTCCAAGTGTGACAATGTCCGATGGTTTGGCCTGGAACTCAAGACGCGTGCTGCAAGGTACACACTGCCTGAAAGAATCATGGAAGTGTTACATAATGCAGACTCTTGATTAGTAAGCCCTCATTTGGATTGTGAACACCGAGTGCACGTTGCAGGGAACAAATCAAGGCCATACCATTCCCAAAGAGGCCATTCCATGGGTGGTTCACACCATAATATATCGCTGAGGCCCACACCTGCGATGGCATTGGCTTTGGTGCGGCGTGTTTCGCTTTCTGTGATGCTGGCTATGAGTCGACGGGCGCACGGAGTGAGAGCTGGCAATGCACAGGCGCGAGCGTGCCTCGCGGGCGCACCCAGCGCGGGGGTGAATTGGCGAGGCTCAGAGACCCCGGGATTTTCTGCCTGTAAGATTGGGCAGAAAGTCTGTCCCTGCGGACAGTGATTCAGGAAACTGTCCCTGGCAGGGTGTTGAAAGACTGCGGCGGCTGGGTAGAAAATTCCAAGTTTCAGCATTCTGAACCTCGTTCCAGCGCAAAGACCAGACATTTTGACACTTTGCCCTGCAGCCTTTGCCCTGCAGAGTCCAGGTTTCCACACGAAGTGTAGCCTTCGTTTTTTTTGCGAAGACTGAGATGTTTGGGTGGAAGAGGATGTTTCTTCCACCAGCGGCGTTCAGAGGGCCAGGCGGTTGTTGCTCACCAGTCTGCAAGGTGCCACCGAGGACAACCCCAGTGGTCATTTGGTCCTTAACACCCTTGGCCATTCAACGCGGCACAAGCGCCAAAACGACGCATGACGCATGACGAGCGTGACAATTCCGGCGGCTCCAGGCAGCAGCGCTGGCCCCACAGTGCCAGGCGCCATGGAGATGCAAGGCGTAGGCCTCCGAGGCCTGGCGCTGAGCTGCTCGCCGCTGCCATGTAGCTTGGGCGGTGCATGGAGGTGGCGAGCGAGCTGGTGGGAGCAAACCCTGAGAACCTGGGCGTTTCCCCATCTTCTTCCACCTGAGGCATCTTCAACCTGCCGCTCGGGGCGCAGTATGCGCACAACTGCAGCAATGTGACCACAGGCAGGTGAAGAGAGAATGGCCACTGAGATTCGATCTTTGTGGCCACCCAGATTCGTGTCACGCTGTTCGAAGCGGAAGGATGTGCTGTGGCTGTGGCTGATGTGGTTGGGTGCTTTGAATCGGTAAACTTTTCATTTGGACAAGTCTAGACCAGGAGCCCCTAGTAGCGTCCTTGCTCCTAGTTGTAAGGCCAAGAGCAGCTAATAGCTTCTTGTTCCTAGCAGTACGGCCAGGAGCCCCTAATAGCGTCCTTGCTCCTAGTAGTGAGTCTGGACTTGGTAGTAGGACATTTCAGCTAGTTATGAATTTAGCCAAACTCTCCTGGAATCCTGTTGGTCAAGGCACCGTCATAGAGGAGTTCGACGTAGGTCACTGTTCCACGTTCAGAGCACTCTACCCGCCCCCGTTTGGAATGTAAAACCTTTTTCTATATCTTCCTATGGGTGCTTGAAATCTATTCAAGAGTCTACATTAATAGCCTGAATTCCGAACAACCATTCTTTTAACTATTTTTGACTCAGGATCTTTACTGCCAAACCACCGTCCCGTCTTCTCTTCACGTTTCGAGGCCAAAGCTGCTGGGTGAGCTGTGCGGATGGCTTTCTGGGTCCCAGCGAGCTGCTGCAGTGCATGCCCACCCGGTCCCTGACAGGCGGATGGGGCCACACTACCGCACGGGCGTGCGCGCGTACGCGGCCGGCTGTCCGCCCAATGGGTGAGACAGGGGCCGCTTCTGACATGGTATTCACATGCGCTTCTTTTTGCATGGGCAATCGCGATTGCCCATGCAAACATGGTGCATTTGGGGCTTGTACATGCAAGCCCGCACGCGTAGCAACAGGGTGTCAGTTCAGATGAATGTGACTGCCCATCGTGGGCATACTGGCGGTTGCAACGCCAGGAAATCCACTTCCAACATGTCTGGCGATTACCTCCACAGTGACCATGACCAGCGTGACCGCCACTAGCACCACCAGTGTCGGGAGCTCTAGCAAAAACGCTTGGGTGTTGCAGACTCACTAAACAAAAGAAGCCTTGTGTGCGACTAAGATTGGTCGCAAACATCTGACTGGGACACTTGATTTCGCTGCCGAGTCTGTCGTCTGTGTCCAAAGCACGGGCGTTTAGCTGCGCAGCGCAGCTATAGACGTTTGAGGTCACCACTCTGCCTTTCCTGTGCACCTGGGAGCTTATGCCGAGCATTCAAGGCCAACTTGCCGAGTAGATGGAGAGTCTCCGGTGAGTTGAGTAGCCGAGCTTCTCCGACCTGGTATCCCACATTCCCAGGCTGTGGCCGAACAGCAACCAAAGAAGTCATAGAACTATGGAAAATTTGTCGAACAGCAGTCCTTTTCTTCCAGAAATTCTTGGCAGCTCGAACAGTTGCCCTTGAGCGGCCAGAGGTGCTGGAAACTTCTCTTGCACTGGCAGCTCTGGGGTTGGGCAGCGATGCACTGCCTCCTGTGAAATGGAAGGCGCTGCAGGCACTTCAGCTGCCCCTTTGCTGCACCTACACATTGGTCACAACGACGCGAGGTGGAGGATGTCTCACTTTCATTTTTTTTGGACCTGGTGTTGCTCAATAGCCAAATCATGCCAAATCACAATAGATGGTAAGAGGATCTTTGATGATTTCTGATGTTTGACTTTTATACCCGTAGGAAAGTCAATACTTTTTTCCTAGACGTCAGGGACATTTTATTATTCTGATGTTTTTTCTCGTACCGAACCTCAGTCACAGGATTCCAGAAAAATCACAAAAATATTAAAGGACAAATTAGAATGTTGACGCAGGAAAAAATATGATACGTAGAAAAGAAAATCATTGTGATTTCCTAGAAGGATGGAATGGTTCACCACAGGATTTCATAACAGTTTCATTAAGGTCTTACCAAGGAATTTATTATGTTGGTTGGTCTAGAGTCTAGCATACACAGAAGAGTATGCAAACATCTGTTTAATCGAGGTTCCCCACGTGTTCCTGTTTGAAACAATCACCCTGCTGGAAATACCACCGGGGCCCGCGGTACACTTGGTGACCACTCTGTATATCACCCTTGGTGTTTTGTTCTTGATGTTTTTGCTCTCCTCTTGACGAGCTGGCAGTGTCTTGGACGTGGTGTTGCAACCAGTGGACTTATTGCGCCCCAAGAAATACTCCAGGTTTGGTTTGGGTGAGAGACAGCAGTCCGACTTGCGTTGGACGCTTTGTACCCTAGCTCTTATGTTCACACAAAAACATAATCACATACACACATAGACTTCAACATGGCCCGATTCAGAGGAATCATAAAAAGCACCTGACCTTTAGAAGAGACTCAACAATCTAGACCACGACAGCGCGGAAAAAGCAGGCCCGGTCACTTTGAGGGAGGGCAGGGGCACCCCTCAACCAGGACTTTAATATGCCAGGATGTTTGTTACGCATCAGCTTCTTCAACCTTTCTACCAGGATTCCATAAAGCACGTTGACGCAGGATTCCATAAATGCTCAAAACCCTTAAGTTTTTTTTGGCTGCCAACCTTGGCACACAAAAAAATATAGAAATGACCTCAGCTCGAAAGGATTTTATAAAATAAATTCCAGCGTCAAACCTTTAGCGTACCTTCCTACCAGCATACTTTTTTCCCCAAACAGTGTGGACACACTAGGGGTTCTTACGGCAATGAAAAAGCAGCTGATGCTTAGATCGCTGAAGCGGCTGATTCGTTGCTATTTACAGTACATTCATGCCTCTCGAAAGCCTCCAAGTGCATTTCGACTGCGCAGGCTCGCAAAAATCTGGGTGGCCGCCGCGGGTGCTTGTCGCGACTGCGCTCTCGTTGTGGTGCCGTGCGCATTTTCGGACATGGTGGTCACTTTTCGTGGCAGGTGCAAGGGAAACCTCGTGTTTTGGTGCTCCAAAGTCGACTATTCGTGACAGGTGCAAGGGATCGGAGCTGTTTTACTTCGATATGCAGTTTTCGTGGCAGGCGCAGCGACATGGTGGTGATCGTCGAGGAGCTCAGATTTCGTGACAGGTGCTGTGAACCGTGACTTTTGGACATGTGGCTCGTTTGCAGACTTCGTGGATTTCGTGGCAGGCACAGCACTCGGTGACCCTCGATGTGCAGATTTCATGGCAGGGGCAGCACTTTAAGTGCAGATTTCAAGCACTTGGTGAACCTCGAAGTGCAGATTTCGTAGCAGGCACAACACTTTGTGAACCTGGAAGTGCAGATTTCGGCGCAGGCGCCGAATTTTGTGCTCTCAGATTCTCACTCACTCTCACCCTCACCCTCACTCTCTCTCACACTCTCACACTCTCCCACTGTCCCAACACCGTCACTCTCACTCTCACACTCACACTTACTCACTCTCCCACTCTCACTCTCACTCACTCCCCCGCTCTCACTCTGACTCTCACTCACACTCACACTCACTCACTCACCACCACCGCCACCGCCACCACGATCCCCAGCTTTATCACCACCATCACCTCTCTCGATCACCTCTCTGGACCCCAATGCGTGTAGATCTCTAGACTTTCTGGTTGTAGACCTCGCACACATTGTTTGGGGTCTCTTGCCGGGAGAACTGATTGGAATATTATTAACATACGTGTAGAGATCAATATATAAGTAGTAAATAGTAGTAATATATTATATTTAATATTTAGCAGGCAACAGATAGATTTCGATGCATGCTTCGCAATGTTGCAATTTTCTCGTGCTGCACATGTGTGTGTGTGTGCGCACAAGCATTCCGGTACGGGCTTGTTTTGTTGTGTGGTGCGACCAGATACCCGTTTGAGCAATTTGCGGTTGCATTTAGTGGTGTGAGTGGCCTGGGTTGCGACAGAGTTACACGCCAATCGCCGCAAATCACCACAGCATGCAGCATACCCGCTAGATTGCCAGAGCTCACCAGAGAATCACTGGAAGCATATCATATACGGTAGATCGTCAAGCAGGATTCCGCGATTCCGCGTATCACACCATTATGCCAGAAGTCGGAAAACATTTCAACAGATCATCTGATCAGCGCAAATTCAGCACTCCGAAACTGGGAGAGCGCGTGGACTGCCCACTCCTCACAAAGCGAACAAACAATTGCCCCACTTGAAACAATTCCAACCCTAGGAGGCGATTTAGAATAAGGCAGGGCACATGTCCTGAGGCTTTATCACTGCCTGACATGTGCATTTCACACAGGATTCTGACATTTGTTACGCAGGAGGGAGGAAACAAACTGCAGGGCTGCGCTTTCTCGAGCGGCCCGTTTTTGCGCTGACGACTCAGGCCATTGTGTGCTGGACGAACCAAATGTGGCAGGTGGAGGACGTGTGCATCAGCCAGCCAGATGGGCAGCTCGACGAGACCGCAGCGGTGAACGATCCCCTATTGCTGGGGTAAGGTTTTGTAGGAGATGTAGCAACCCGCTCGCACCATGTAAATGTAATGTCTTTTCAAGCAACAACTAAGCCCTCTGGATAGGATCGCAGGTGAATCTCTTTGACTGTGTTGGATGTCCACTGGAACTTTGCGTTTGTAGTCATCCGTGGTCCTTCCCATTGTTTTGCGGGAAAATGGCCCTGCTTGCGTCCGAACCCTGCTTGCATCCGATGGGCACTTTCTGGGGCATGGTCCCACTTTCCGCGCCTCGGCAGGTCAAGGATGATGCTCTTCCTTGGGGTGACCTTGGGTGCTTTGCCGCTCGACCGCCACAAAAAAGGAAGGCCGCATCACCACCGACCGGTGGTATCAACGGACCAATTGATTTACCACAGAAAGTTGAACCCAGGACTGTATAGTAAGCAGCTCACACTTAGGTCGTTCATGAAAATGCCATATTCTAAGTGCCGGCAGTTTACTATATATAATCCTAGATGCAGCTTATTACGCTTATTAAGTAATTATGCAACCTGGCCTGGCGCCTGTTTCTTCTTACGAGGTTTCTCAAGGAGGTTCCGGTTGCACGGGTTGCTTGACTTTGTGGCACAGTATGGGGGCAACAGGAGTATTTGAC